CATACTATTCTAACAGTTACATATTGTTGCTGGTTTTATTTTGAAGTTATTTGTTACCTACTTACTTTTCTCTCTGAAATTTGGACCTAATGTCTGACCAGTCCATTAATTAATGATCTGGTGCAGAGGCCTTTGGGAAACATTATGAGTTTGATTTTAATAAAAAGAGTTCTGTTTTTTTATTGTATTTTAATGCAGGTGAGATTTATAGAACTTTTTGTCATGATTCTTCATCGTTATGTAGGTTTCTAATGAAGAGGCTAAGCAAATAGAGATTTCCAAACTTCAAAAGATGTTAGAAGCTCTGAATCTTGAATTAGATGCAGCTAAATTGGCAACAATTAATGAGTGCAACAAGAATGCAGTTCTGCAAAATCAATTGGAATTGTCAGCAAAGGAAAAATCTGCTTTAAAAAGAGAGCTAGCTGCAGTAGATGAAGTACGAAAGGAAAATGCTGCATTGAAGGTGATTAGAGAGCTAACTGGCACCATCTGCTGCTAATATCAGTGACTAGAGAATTTTTCATCTCCAAAAACATATATAATTTGTTTGTATTTGGAGAAAATTTGTTTGGAGAAGTATCATTTTTCTCTGTTATTTTCCTGTCTGCTTGTTTTTTCTTCTGAATTTAGTTACATTGTATTCCTTCCCTTGTCTTATATTTTTAGGTTTCTTTGGATTCCTTTGAAAAGAAGTACGTAGCTTTAGAGCTTCAGCTTATGAATGCTCAAAAAGGCCGTGATGAAACCATTGAGAAGCTGAGGGAGCTTGAACAGAAGTGCTCTCAACTCGAGCAAAATGTTAAAAGGTGCCTTTTCTTTTCACTCTTTACTCCCTTTTTACGAATAGATTTAGTTACTGAATGGTGTTACATTTACTCCTATATTCCAATTCCACTGCTCTTTCTTGTTTGTGCTTATTAGAGTTTGAGCTTTGCTATAAATTTTGATGACTTGGGTGAGGTGCCTTCACAGAAGAAGAGAGAAAGTACATGTAAAGAGGAGAGAGAGAGAGAGAGAGAGAGAGAGAGGGAGGGGAGGGGGGGGGGGGGGGGAGAAAATAGGTACTGAGCAATCTGATATTATTCTGAAAGTTAGAGCTCTTTGCATAACCAGAGAGATGTATATTTAGGTATACAAGGAAGCCTTGCATAGCAAGCTAACAAATCCTAACTGAATGTAACTGATCTGTAAGTCTGTAACAGATCTCAACAACTCAGCAACTAATCTAACAGAAGTGCAGCTGTATAACTGCTGAAGCAGCAGTGCTAATCTGAGATTAGATGTAGCATAGTGCTGCGCAAAGTAGCAGTCATATTACTACTCTAACATGCCTTCCTAAAAAGCTATTGTTTTTTGTATTACTATTTCTTCTACTCGTATTTAATGCAGCCTTGAGGAAAAGCTTTTGAGTTTAGAGGATGAAAATCACGTGCTTCGTCAGAAAGCCTTAAGTGCTCCTCCCAAGAGTAACCGAACGGGTTTTGCGAAGTCATTATCAGAAGTAAGTTTCCTCATGCATATATATACATTCAAAAGAATATGTGTTTATAGATACTTTGGTTTTGTTGTCTATTATTAATTTGTTATCTTTGTGTTTCCAGTTCTCAGACAGATCCGATTTTTAATAGCTATGTTGTGGGTGTGTTGAGAATTGTGTTATATAGTTAATTAATTTGCTTTCTTTCTCCAACAGAAATACTCAAGCACAATCGCCACGCGCACTGCACGAAAGCCCAAATTTGTAAGCTACTACTTTCTTGTCTTCCTTTACTGAAAATAATTGCTAAACTATAATTATTTTTAAGTGCTCTGATTTGATGCAGGAGTCACCCACACCCACAAAACTTGTTGCCCCTTTTACACTAGGATCATCAGACTCTCATCGATCTAAGTTAATTGCAGGGAGGCACCAGGTAGATCTTGTTTCACTTCTGTCCTTATTCCTACGCCTTTTCCTTTATCACCTTCCCAAGTTCAGGTGACTGGCAAAAGTTTTAAGGATAACTGAATTTTTTTCTTAATGTCTTGATTTGTTGGTGGAGCTTGATTTGTTGGTGGAGCAAGGGGTGGGCATTCTTGCTTCAGTTTTTTATGCCTAACCAAACTGAATCGATTTTAGTGGTTCGGTTCGGCGAACCAAACCGATTTTACTTTTTTATGACCCGATTTTGGTTCCGAACTGGTTTAGAACAGTTTTTAGTTTTGAACTGGTTTTAAGGAATTTTTTTTTAAAAAAAGTGCCGGTAGTTTAGAAAAAATGAACTGGTTTGAACAAAATGATTTGTTTTCTGAACCGGTTCTGCATAAAGTGAATTGGTTCTTGTTGAGATATATAGTCCCACATTGGTTGTATGTGCAACTAATGTGGAGTTTATAAGGCCTTGGGCACTCCCACCCTTTGAGCTTATCCCAAAGTTCTTTACATGGTATCAGAGCCTTGCCGCCCCCCACTTTCTCTTGTGGACTTTCTTAGCACAGGTAGGCTGGGCCTGTTGCATCTTCCACTCTTCAAGCCCAATGGGCTCTCGTGTGAGGGGGCGTGTTGAGAGATATAGTCCCACATTGGTTGTATGTGCAACTAATGTGGCCTTTATAAGGCCTTGGGCACTCCCACCCTTTGAGCTAGCTTTTGGGGTGGTGACCTCAAGGTTCTTAACATGGTATCAGAGCATTTGCCATTGCACGATACTCAGCTTCTGCACTAGATCGAGCAACAACAGGTTGTTTCTTGCTCTTCCACAAAATTAAGTTTCCTCCAAAGAAGACACAATAGCCAGAAGTAGAGCGCCTGTCCGAGGGTGATCCTGCCCAATCAGCATCTGAATAACCACAAATTTCTGTATTTCCCTGATCTGAATACAACAAACCTTTTCCTGGTGCTCCTTTGATGTATCGGAGGATCCTCACAGCAGCATCCCAATGTGAATCACAAGGGGAATCAAGAAACTGACTAGCCGTACTAACAGCGAAAGAAATATCTGGCCTAGTCACAGTAAGATAGTTGAGCTTCCCAATTAGCCTCTGATAACGTCCAGGATCAGATAACGGCTCCTCCTGTCCGGATTTTATATATCTCAACAGTTCTTAAGCCGATTAAAAAAAATATGATTTTTTGGCATAGTTTGGTTCACAATATGGGTCGGTTCTTTTGGATTTTATGCACACCCCTAATTCTGTGTAATTGTGAGCAAGCCTGAGAATGGTCATAACAAATTGCTGAAGACACAAAATACTTATAGTCTATCAAGGGAAGAGAAGAGGGGAAAAGGTATTTCTTGGTATCAATTTGATATGGGGGTGAAAAATTCATGGATGAGTTCTCAATACAATTTTACAAATATAACTGATCCATGAATTTTTCACCTCCATTTTTAACCTCATACCAGACATGCCATTTGAGTATAAATTTCTCATAGTAAAACAGTGCTCAGATGCCGTCAGTGCTTAAAGAAACTGAAATCGGAACTTAAAGTTCGTCTGTAGTTGTCGCAATTGAAGAGAACCAAATTCTGACTATGATGTGGAGACCACTTCCAAAAATTTCAATAAGAAATCCCTACCCGGGCCCACACTTTTCTAGTGATTTTGGGTCAGGGTTTTGTAGTTGGAGCATTTACTTTTTGTCTTCCCAGATTCGTTGTGCTTGCCATCCTTTTAACTAAGACTTGAATGTGAAAACGAAATATTATTTTCTGAATTGGGTTAAAAGGGTATACTTAACAATTTATGAACTAAACAAAATAATTTCTTTCCCAAAATAGAACTCCATCTACGTTTACTAATAATCTACCATAATAACAAAATAATTTAGAATAATTGCAAATACAACCAACGTGGGACGCTCATAACACTTTACCCTCAAGTTGGTGAATGGATATCTATCATTCCTAGATTACCAGTAAAATTTTGAAACTTCTTTGTAGGTAGTACTTTAATTAATACATCTACCAACTTGACCTTTGGAGGAACATATGTTGTGGTGATTAATCCACTTTCCAATTTTTCCTTGATGAAATCTCAATTTATTTGAAAAAGTTTTGTTCTTCCATGCTGGATCGGATTATGAGTAATGCAAATGGCTGATTTGTTGTCACAAAACAGCTTCATAGCTTTTTCATAGTTTATTGTGAGGTCATCCAATATAGTCTTCATTTATATCAACTCATGAACTCCTTGTGCAGTAGCTCGAAACTCAACCTTTGCACCCACTAAGCAACCATTTTTGTTTCTTACTCTTCCATGCAATCACGTTTCCCACCCAAGAACACATAATGACTAGAGATTGACCTCCTATCAATCATACTTGTGAATAGCTCCGCTTTAGCGCGCTATAGCGGAGTTGCGTTGCGGTGCAGCGGCCGGCTGCCACAGACCGCGCCGCTACGGTCAGGCGAAGTGTAGCGTATGTAGCGGCCGCTATTGCGGCTGAATCGCGGCGATATTGCGCCGCTACAATAGTTTTTGCAAAAATGTTCTCGTCGTAGAAGGAAGAGATTTACAACTTAGATACAAATGAAAGTAAAGATGAAGTTTTGGATGTTCATGATTTCAATTATGATTAGTTCCTTAAGTTCTTTGATTTTGACATTTCACTTAAGTGGCAGTTTGAATTTTGACTAATTTTCCCACTTTATTTTGTTGTGTTACATTATTTGAGACTTTAATTCCTTCAATCTGCTTATGATTTGAATTTTAATGTTTGAAATCATTTATGTTTTAGTTTGAGATCCTTCAAATTTGTTTTTTATGTCACATTTTCATATTTTAAGTTTTATATTTGTGGAGTACAATTTAGTGTATCACTTAGGTACACTTTGCACAGTAGCGTTGTAGCGTTACCCGCTATAGCGCTATAGCAGTTTGGAGGGTCAGCCGCTAAGTGCCGTTATCTGAGATTAATAAATATGCTATCAATTACTGATCTTGCATAATCAACATATGTATATTCTTCCATAGATATATTCCACCCTTTCTGAACAATAGTCCTTTGGTATGTGTAGCTTTAAGATACTATAGAATTTTGTCCACTACTTGCAAGTGACTCACATATACAATATCTGGTCTAGTATGTGCCAAGTATGTCAATTTACCTACTAACCTTTTATATTGTGCTATATCAACCTTGGGACTTCGTGCATCAATTTTTATTTTGTGATTTTGCTCAATGGGTACATGAGTAGCTTTATAACCTAGCTTCCTGGTCTCCCTAAGAAAGTCAAGGACATGTTTTCTTTGAGAAATAAAGATGCCTTGTTTGGAGTGAGCAACCTAAATCCCAAGGAAGTGTTTTAGGATTACAAGATCTTTTCTTCTCAAACTCAGCTGCTAGTTTTTACTTTAGCAGTTGTTTCTTAGCTAGGTCTTCATCACCTAAAATAATAATGTCACCAAGATACATAGGTAGGATAGCGAGTTCACCTTTGTGTGAATGTTTTGAAAAAGACCCGGGGGGTTTTTCTATAGTGAATTTACCTTCTTGTTTGGATCTGTTTTCACAGGACGTTCTGCATTTCCCATGAGGTAATCTTTCTTTCCTTTGCCACAAATAAACATCATGACACCTTGGGACCATGTTAAGTACTTTGTCCTATTGAATCGATGCCTGTTATCATGAGAGAAAAGCTGTTGAGGGACAAGGAAGGAGTAGTATTCGCCTGGTTGTTAGGATTAGGCTGAGATGCGGTGGAGGACAAGTCAGGCGAAGAGGTTTAGAAGGCCCTCATGGAGCTGAATCTCAACGACATTATTTTATCAGGCCCTTGGATGAGGGCTGTGATACCATAAAGATAAGTAGAGCGGCGGAGTTTGAATAATTTCTCTGCATATCTTAGAGAATGGCGAGTGCAATATAAATTGGGAGATGACTTTACAAGGAATCAGTCAATCCCTAAGAATCAGGAATAAAAACTGAAATAGAACTATCATCGGAAATAAAATTATTCTTTGACTAACACATGGTCCTAATTGATTTAAATATGGAAACAAGCAATATAAAAACAAATAAGGACAGAATTGATTCATCCAAGAATATTCGATGTGGAATAACATGGCTGACAACTCTAATAGATACCATATGTTTTGCAGGATTACTACGAATTCCTCTCTAGGTGTATCAAAGAAAATTTGGGATTCAAAAATGGTAAACCTCTTGCAGCTCGTATCATATACAAATGTCTTCTTCATTGGCATGCCTTTGAATCCGAGCGCACAGCCATTTTTGATTACATAATTGAAGGCATAAATGAGGTTCTAAAGGTAAATGATATGCTCTCATTTTCAATATTGTTGTTGTTACTTGTCTTATATTTAGAATTGAGTTATGACTTTTTCTTTTGGCATAGTTTATAGTCCTGTATCTGAATTGTAGGATCCCTGTGTAATTTGTTTTTTGAGATTTATTCGTTGGAGTTGGATCTGCTTCAGGTTAGGGATGATGACATTGTCTTGCCATATTGGCTGTCCAATACTTCTGCACTCCTATGCATCTTACAGAGGAACTTACATTCAAATGGCTTTTTAACTTCCACTGGTCAACGTAATACTGGATCATCTGGCTTGACCAGCCGGACAGGGCCTGTGAGTTATCTAGTTGAACATTGGCATCTCATATATAATTATGTGTATGTGTGTGTTAGTCGTACTTAGTTCTGGTTAAGGGCTGTCATTTCCTCGCTAATCAATTAAGATTTAAGATAAAAGTGGCCTAGTAAGAAAGTTGAACTAACACTCAAGATTTAACTTGGAAAACTGGAGCTAAGCTTTTTCTCGCTGATCAATTAAGATAAAAGTGGCCTAGTATGAAAGGTATAGAAAGTTTGAATGATGGAACCAGTTTTTCCATTAAAACTAAAAGAAAAAAAACGTACAATAAATAGACACCAGAAATATTCCAGTGCAACAAATCCCTATAATCAGGGAAAGAGATAAAACTAGAAAACTGAATCCTATTTTAACTAAACAGGAAAAATATCAGAAACAAACTAATCCTAGGAATTTAAATAACAAATAACGAAACAAACTCCTAAGATTAAGGAGGAAAAATAAAACATTCTAGATGCTGAAAACTAGGGATTGCAACACTCCCCCTCAAGCTGGGTGGTAGATGTCCAGCATTCCCAGCTTGGAAATTAGTCCTTCAAATTTAATTCTTGATAAAGACTTGGTTAAGATATCAGCAATCTGGGACCCTGTGGAAATGTGACTTAGATCAATAATATTTGCATCAATTTTTTCCTTGATGAAATTTCTATCAAGTTCAACATGCTTGGTACGGTCATGATGGATTGGATTATTGACAATTCCAATGGTGGCCATGTTATCACAGAAAATCTTCATAGGATCCTTGTATTCGAGGTGTAGCTCCTTTAGGACTCTTAAAATCCACATTCCCTCACAAGTGCCTAAGGACAATGCCCTGTATTCGGCTTCAGCACTGCTTCTGGCTACCACAGACTGTTTTTTACTCCTCCAAGTGACCAAATTTCCCCACACATATGAGCAATAGCCTGTGGTTGATCTTCGATCGATAATGGATCCTGCCCAATCAGCGTCCGTGTAAATCACAATATCACGGCTGGAATTTTTCTTGAAGAACAATCCTTTACCAGGAGTCATCTTTAAGTATCGTAGGATTCTGTAGACGGCTTCCAAGTGCTCTTCATTTGGGCTGTTCATAAATTGACTGACCACACTCACAGGGAAACTAATATCAGGCCTAGTGTGGGCTAAATAAATGAGTTTTCCAACTAGTCTTTGATATCTCTCAGTGTCTACCGAAGCACATTCTTGTTTGAGTCCTATCTTGTAGTTCGCCTCCATTGGTGTATCAGAAGGTTTACATCCCAACATCCCTGTTTCATTCAGCAGATCAAGAGTATATTTTCTTTGAGAAACTGAAATTCCTTCCTTAGTTCTTGCCACTTCCATTCCAAGAAAATATCGTAATTTTCCAAGGTCCTTGACCTCAAATTTGTGAGCTAACGTCTCCTTTAATTGCTTTATCTCATCCTCCCAATTACCAGTAATCACAATATCATCAACATAGACAATTAATATTGTAATTTTCTGATGAGGTGCAGTTTTAACAAACATAGTATGATCAGTTTGACATTGGGAGTACCCTTGATTTTTGACAACTGCAGTAAACTTATCAAACCAAGCCCTTGGAGATTGCTTCAAACCATAAAGGGATTTTAATAATCTACATACCTTTCGAGATCCTTGACCATCTTCCACTCCTTGGGGAATTTCCATGTAAACCTCTTCTTCTAAGTCACCATTTAAGAATGCATTCTTCACATCCATTTGCCAAAGGGGCCAATCTAGGCAAGCAGCAATGGACAAAAGAATTTTAATTGAATTAAATTTTGCTACTGGAGCAAAGGTTTCCTGGTAATCAATGCCCTGTGTCTGAGTGAATCCTTTGGCCACAAGTCTTGCTTTATGGCGATTAATACTCCCATCTTCATTATATTTGATGGTAAAAATCCACTTACAGCCAACCACTGATTTTCCTTGTGGTAAGGTAACTATCTCCCAAGTGCCATTTTTTTTGAGTGCATGCAATTCATCCTGGATAGCAGAACACCATTCAGTAGTCTTAGATGCCTCAAAGTAGGATGTAGGAATGGTTTCCTTGTCAATGTTCTTGACTAGATGCTGCATCCTGGAGGAAAGATTAGCATAGGATATAAAATTACAGATGGAATGACTTGTACATGTCCTTACCCCCTTACGAAGTGCAATTGGCATGTGCAGAGCATCATCAGAACTTGGCAGCAAGGATTCAGTTTGGTCAAGTGCAGGACTAATGGTTTCTTCAGTTGGACCAGGAGCCAAGGTAATCTGTTTGTCAACATGTTCAAGCATCTCAGAAGCTGTTCTGTATTTGGGCCGTCGCGTGTAGACTTGCAGGGGCTGCTGTTCAGGCGGTTTCTGGAGCGGGCCGGAAGAGGATAAGCCATTAGATGAAGTGTCATTTTCCTGAGATTCACCTAAGACCGGTGTAGGGGCTGTTGAAGCAGAGTTTTCTGGAGTATTAGTCACAAACAACCATTCCTTGGAATTAGGGATCTCCCCCTGAATGGCGGTTTGGGAAAAATAAGGCTGATGTTCAAAAAAGGTGACATCTTTAGTAATGTAGAATCGATGTGTGGCTGGACTGAAGCATTTATACCCCTTCTGAGTAGGGGAATAGCCAAGAAAGATGCCCTTAAGAGCCCGAGGATCCAATTTACCACCTTGAGAGTTATGAATGAACACGGTGCAACCAAAAATTTTTGGTGGGAGATTTGGGGTTAAGGTCAATGAAGGGAATGCAGTGAGGAGTGTTTGGTAAGGTGAGGAGAAGTGTAATACCCGAGATGGCATGCGGTTGATAAGGTAAGTGGCTGTAAGAATAGCTTCCCCCCAATAATTTTTGGATGTATTTGAGGCAAAGAGTAGGCTACGAGCAACTTCAAGTAAATGGCGATTTTTTCTCTCAGATACACCGTTTTGTTGTGGGGTATTGACACAAGAGCTCTGGTGGATGATGCCATGGTCTTTTAGGTAAGCTGAAAGGTCCAAGTTAAAATAATCACGTGCATTGTCAGATCTAAGGGTAAGGATTTGGGTTTGAAATTGGGCAAGGATCATTTTGTGAAAGACTTTAAAGGTGGATGTGACTTCAGATTTATTGGCTAATAGGTACACCCATGTCATTCGAGTATGATCATCAATAAATGTGACAAACCAACGAGCACCCGTAAGGCTTTTAACAGTTGCAGGTCCCCACACATCACTGTGGATAATGGCAAATGGTTTAGAAGGAACATGCATTTGTAAGGGATAATGAGACCGAGTTTGTTTTGCAAGTTGACATATATCACATGAAGGAAAATTCGAATTCTCATTAAATAAAGAAGGGTACATCTTTTTCATATATTGAAAGTTTGGATGCCCTAATCTAAAATGCCATAAAAGAGCCTTATTCAAATTGCTAGTTGCTGCAAATGTGCTGTCTTGAGTCTTCATAACCGCGGCTGTGTAAAGTTGATATAAACCATTAGAGACCCTAGCACTGCCAATCGTCCTCCCCGATGCCAAATCCTGAAAAATACAATCAACGTGGGTAAATTTGACTGTGCACTTTAAATCCTTGGTCAATTTGGTAATAGAAATTAAATTGCAGGTAAGAGATGGAACGTAGAGAACTCCAGTTAAAGATATGGTTGACGATAGGTGAACAACACCAATTCCGTGAACCTTGGCTAAGCCTCCATTTGCTGTTTTTACTGATTTTGCCTCGAAAATGGGAAAGTATTCAGAAAGAAGAGAGGAATTACCAGTCATATGATCTGTAGCCCCAGAATCTACCATCCAGGAATCACATTTATCAAGATCGGATTGGAGAGCTGTATGGTGTACCTGATTGATGACTATCAGATGAGGGATTAGATTTGTCCTTATTGCAATCTTGCAGCATGCGTTGTATGGCTATCACTTGTTCCCTTGTAAATGTATGGCCTTCGGATTTTGCTTGCGGAACATCTTCTACAACTGCAGCAACATGATTAAAGTCTCTGTTTTGTCTTGGCTTCCAATCAGCTGGCTTGCCATGGATTTTCCAGCATGTATCCCGAATATGCCCAGTTCTGTTGCAATGGTCACACCAGAGCTTACCATTTCGCCTAGGTCTGGAGTCTGCATTGTTGGGTCTAGAGACAAAGGCTGCTGCTTCCAAAGGTGCATCAACTTTTGGGATGCTATTGGTCAAAACTTTGCGGCTTTCTTCCCACTTTAATTCAGAAAAAACTTCTCGCAAGGATGGCAGAGGGCGAGTGGCCATGATGCGGCTGCGAGCTCCATCATAGATTGGATTGAGTCCCAAAAGAAGGTTGTAGGTGCGGTCTTGTTCAACAATTTTCTTATACTGAAGAGTATCGGCTGGAGTAGTCCATTCATGTTGATCATAAAGATCCAATTGTTGCCAGAATTTTAGGAGTGAATTATAATAGCTGGTGACATCCTTGTCCTCCTGTTTGAGATCACGAAGAATCCCCTTGATGTGAAACAAGGCAGCTGTGTTATCTTCCTTAGAGAAGGCTTCCTTCACGCCATCCCAAATTTCCTTGGCTGTGGAGCACAACATGTATGTTTCAGCTATTTCAGGCACCATGGAATTCAGCAACCAAGACATCACAAGGTTATTTTCAATGGACCACTTCTTGTATTGTGGATGACTGGTTTCCAGAGGAGCAGCATCACCCGTACCGGTGAGATGATCTCCCTTGCCACGGCCTCCAATGAACATACGAACGCTGCGTGACCACAACAAATAATTGTCTCCATTGAATCGATGACCAGTGATGACTAATGCTGGACTATCGTTGGTAATGACAGCTGCTGAGTTGTTGTTGGTTTGGTTTGATGCTGAAACATTGAGTGGGGTTGTTGTTGGAGTGGTATTTGTACCGGTGGTATTGGAAGAAGTAGTTTGGTAGGCTCTCATGGTGCCAAAGAGTGGCACATTGGTAGCCATGGGTGGATCAGTCCCTTAAAAATCAAGCTCTGATACCATATAGAAAGTTTGAATGATGGAACCAGTTTTTCCATTAAAACTAAAAGAAAAAAAACGTACAATAAATAGACACCAGAAATATTCCAGTGCAACAAATCCCTATAATCAGGGAAAGAGATAAAACTAGAAAACTGAATCCTATTTTAACTAAACAGGAAAAATATCAGAAACAAACTAATCCTAGGAATTTAAATAACAAATAACGAAACAAACTCCTAAGATTAAGGAGGAAAAATAAAACATTCTAGATGCTGAAAACTAGGGATTGCAACAAAAGGTGAACTCTACGGCACTCAATTTAACTTGGAAAAATGGAGCTAAGTTATTTTGTCTATTTTTGTGTGTTGTTTCACGGGCACATGATAAGGTTGCTTTTGAAATTTTAGTTTTGATGGTAGTTTGTTTTCTGCAAACATTGTGTTTTATAATATATAGAACACAATAAATAGAGTATTTTAGGTTAATTAAATTCTAGGGTGAAGCTATTTTGGGGGGATAAAAGAAGAAACATTATTAATAGAAGAGTGCAAAAATGTGGAGGATAAGGTACCCTTCTTAGCAAAAGTAGAAAGAACAAACAAAGGAAAGACAATCTATATTATTTAAATCAAGCTGTCCACTTCCTTCATATGTTTGTTAAGTAGTGTTTCTTCAGGCTTCCTTGAAGAAACTACGCCACCATGGTCCAAACCCAAATAGAGGTCATAAGCCCCTGAAGCTAATCATATGAAACTGTTCCAATTTGAGAGGACATGCCAAGGATTCACCAGAGACACCTAATAACTTTCTCCAAATGGAAGTCGCTGTAGGGAAATATTGAGACATGTAAAGAATCAATTCAACCCAAAAGCTTAAGCTGTTGGGTGAGGCTATATTAATGGTTTGATATATCTCAACACTCCCCCTCACACGAGAGCCCACTGGGCTTGAAGGGTGGACAATGCACAGGCCCACCTACCTGTGCGAACAAAGAAATTCTACTTGAAAGAAAGTGGGGGGCAACGAGGATCGAACCCGGGACACGAGGCTCTGATACCATGTAAAGAACCAATTCAACTCAAAAGCTTAAGCTGTTAGGTGAGGCTATATTAATGGTTTTATATATCTCAACAAGACAAATAAGCAACCTTGACCAACACATAAGTCATGAATATCAAAGTGAGCTTCGTAGGCTCTTTGAATAATTTCAATATTTTTTTTGCTCTTTCCAGTATAGAAGAAATTTATTATAAGGGGAGAAAGAGTGCAATGAGAATGAGCTCAAAACTTACAATATCATCTTTTGAAAAATGGAAGGAAAATATATTATTGAATTGTAATTACAACTGTATAAAGGGTTATCTATTTAAAGAGACTAATTGACCTATTGGGCTAAGCCCAAAGAAGATTCTAGAATACAACAATAAATAATAAATAAAATAATAATTATTTACAACAATCCTCCTCAAGCTGAGGAATAGATATTTATCATTCCCAGCTTGCTAGTAAGTTTTTGAAATCTATTTGAAGGAAGTTCCTTTGTCAAAATATCAGCTAATTGACGCCCAAAGGGAATGTATGAAGTGACGATGAACCCGCTATCAAGTTTTTCTTTGGTGAAATGATGGTCGTCCTCAATATGCTTAGTCCGATCATGTTGAACTGGATTATGAGCTATACAAATTGTGGACTTGTTATCACATAGCAACTTTATAGGTTCCCCTGCCTCATTTTATATTCTCCTCCTGATTGTAGTTTTGTGCTATTTCCAGGAACCAAAATTTCCATTGAAGTTTGTTGGGTATGATGATGGAATGTCACATGTAGAGGCGAGATATCCTGCTATACTTTTTAAGCAACAACTAACTGCTTGTGTAGAGAAGATTTTTGGCCTTCTACGTGACAATTTGAAAAAGGAACTTTCTCCACTTTTGGGAATGTGTGTTCAGGTGACATTTCTGACTTTTTGCTGTTACTTTGGAGAAGTTATTTGTGAATAAACTACCATTTTAATTGCTGAATCGTTGTGCTTCTGTTGTTGTTTCCAGTGTAATCTCATGGCCATAATGCATAAAGGAAGATCTTTATTGAAATGAATCAGATTCTTGAATGGAGTTTGTAGAACATTTTTTTCGGGTGCTAGGAGGGACGGGGGTTAATGAAGTCACAAACTAAGTCTGTTGTTTCCTGAACCAGTTTGAATTGCTTTAATTTTTGCTTGATGGATTTTAGTAGTCTCAGTGTAGCACCCACTTGCTTTCAATCATTTCTTCCATTTAACCTCACTGTATGGTGGATGTTCAACTTCATTTTGTTGCATGAGCTGTTCTTTAGTTTAATTATGAGGTGTTTGCAAGGGGAAGCTAAGGATTAGAGTTTGTAGAGAAGTCGGGAGTTTGTTCTTAGAGGATGAAAGAAACTGGGAATGTTGTGAGGGAAGGAGGGAGGAAGCCTTTGTTTTTACTTCAGTTCACCTTTTCCTTCCCCAACTTGAAACCCAATTTCGTGAATTTATCCATTGCTGTAGTGACAATAGTGATTTAGTTGCTACTGCTCTGGAGATTGTGTTCTTTTAACGAATGCCATATATTTTCTACTCCAATTTCAGATTGTCTTTTATTAATGGTAAAATATAAATAATTGGCAGTTATGATAGCTTACATAATTTAGATCATTTATTTTACATTAAAAAATGAAATATTTTATTTGAAGTGTACCTTTGCTATTGTGTGTGTATTATAATTTACTCTTGTCTGGTTAGGCACCCAAAACAGGACGAGGGCATGGTGGAAAATCATCTAGATCTCCTGGTGGGCTTCCTCAACAATCATCTGGCGGTCAGTGGAGTAACATTGTCAAATTTTTGGATTCAATCATGGACAAACTACGTCGAAACCATGTATGTTCTGTTTTGTTTCAATGGTCTCTTTGTTACTGTGTTCGGTCAGTTCGTTGAATATTTTTGTTGCAGTCCTGCATCCTCTAAAACATAATTTTTCCTGTAATTATTGTAAAATATTCTGTTGTTAGGAAAGATTATTATTTACCATAGATTAGATGTTGTTTTAGGCAAGTAATTATTTAGCCAAGTATATATATTAGATGAAACTGTGTGTACCATTACATAATTCAAAAATAATAGTCTTTTTTCAATTTATGTTGGTATAAGAGCTTCCGATATGGGAGACTCTTGCTTTCATAAATTAACCCTAGATTGGCTTCATCGGAGCCTCTGTAGCAGCAGCCTTCATTGGGGTTGATCTCCTGTCTTTGTTTGCGCCTTTATGCCCAAGACTCCACATGCGACTTCAGCTGCCATTGGTGTCTGCTGTTATAGCTTCTCTGATCAATGATCCCACTAACAGGTTCATCGTCTCTAGACCATCCAACCACCGAAGACCCATTGCTAGCAGCTTTTTCATGTGCTCTCTCCATGCACTGTTCTTCTATGCGTCAGATCCAAGTGCTGCTACTCAAACCATGCATGACAGCGCATCAGGCCATTGTCTAGTCTGCCACGGTTCTAGCTAGCTTGGCTTAACCTCTACCCTCATTTGGTCCATAAAGCATCACCCACATGCTCTAACACATATTTCATCAAGTGTCTCTCGTTTTCTCTTTCCTTAACCTTTTGGATGAAGATCATATTGGATGACCTTGGAATAAAGTATGCAGCTCCTATGAATCTGTTTGGTGACGAAAAATCAGCCATTAGCATTGCACTAAACTCAGTTCAACATGATAGGACAAAACATATTGAGATACACCAACACTTGGTAGATGCATTACCTAAGGGATTAGCCATTGAGAGGTTTCATGATCTTACTGACAAGTTGAGAATGATAAATATTCACTCACCAGTTGAGGGGAAATGTTATAACCTTCCCGCATCCACTAAAACATAAGATTCCCATTAATTATTGAAAATATTCTATTATTATGAAAAATTATTAATTACCACAAATTAGATATTATTTTAAGCAAGTAATTATTAATTACTATAGAATGAAATCGTGTACTGTTACACAATGCAGAAATAACATCCAGTCCTTTTTCATTTAAGTATTTTTTTAAGTATTCTTACGTTCTACATTTGTTAGAGTAGTTGTTAGAATAGTTAAGTGTATATAACAGAATAGTTGCACTTCTTGTGGGCTTAGCCCATTAGATCTTTTACTCTCTTTAAATAAAGAGTTCTTGTACATTGTAACACACAATTATTCAATATACCATTATTCTATTATTCAATCTCAAGTTGGTACTAGAGCTGGTTGTTCTGGGAACCCTCGCTTCGGCTAAAACCCTAAGCCCAGTGTTTAGGTATTGTCTTCTACTTATTTGTGCGTCCTTCCGGCAAGGCTTCCTCTACGTTGTGCGTTCCTTTGGCTTGTTTCCGCAATTGTTCACACGACATTGTTCATCTCGTCCATACGGTCACTGTTCATCGCGTCCGTACGAGTACTGTTCACGTCCGTACAGCCACTGTTCAGGTTTTTGGAGTTACTGTTCATTGCCGAAAAGGCAGAAACACGTGTTCCTTCTTGTTCGGCTATCCGGTTGATTCAATTTGCTTTGTTCTGTAAGTTTTTATTACGTTCGTAATGGCAGAATCATATCTTGCTCCTGATTCTTCTTCTGCTGTTTATTCCACTGCTCTTGTTTCCCGTATTGAATCTCACGGGAACAGTGGATGTAGTCAAAGACCTCGTTGTAGTTATTGTCAGCAACTTGGTCATTATGAGGAGTGTTGTTACACGAAGTATCCTCACCTGTGACCTTATTCTGCGAATATAGTTCAATCAGATACTCCTTCATCTGGTTTAGTCTCTCTCTCTCTCTCTCTCTCTCTCTCCTGTAGACTATGCAACACTTCAGGCTCTTCTCAGGAAGACTTCTCCTCAGTCTCAGCCGTCTGCTCCAGATACTGGTAATCCCGTTGCTTGTGTTTCTCATTCTACATCACTTGGCCCTTGGATATTTGACTTAGGTGCTACTGATCATCTCTGTGGTAAAAAGGAATTATTTACGTCTTTACTTATTCTGATCATTTACCTTCTTTTACCTTTTCTGAAGGAACCAAAGCCCCAATTCGTGGGATTGGACAAGCTCGTCCGACCTCTACCTTGACCTTGACATCTGTCTATTACATCCCTGACATCCCTTATAACTTAATTTTTGTTAGTAAATTGGTCCACTCCCTCACTTGCACCATTACTTTCTCTAACCATTATGTTTCTATGCAGGATCCGGGTACGGGGAAGACAATTGGAGAGGGTTGTGAGTCATGCGGGCTTTATTATCTGGTTGTATCTCGTCTTACAGTGGCATGCTCTCTCACATAATCTCCACAACTTATCCACAAACACCTCGGTCATCCAAGTCTTTCAAAATTGCAAAAGATGGTTCCTCTTTTATCCGATATTCAATCTTTAGATTGTCTATCATGTCAGCAAGGGAATCACACACGCTCCTCCTTTGCCAATCGAGTCAATAAACGAGCTGATGCTCCTTTCTCTCTTATTTATTCAGATATTTAGGGTCCAAGTCGTACTTTGTCTGTTTTAAGTTTTCGGTATTTTGGTACTTTAATTGATGATTATTCCCGTTGTACTTGGGTTTATCTAATGAAAAATCTTATTCTCCATTTATAAAAAGTTCCCTGCTGAGGTTCATACTCAACTTGGTGTTTCTATTCGTATTTTACGTAGTGATAATGCTAAGGAATATGTTTCTTTTGACTTTTCTAATTTCTTGGCTACACAAGGTACTTTACACCAGACCACTTGTCCTCACACCTTACAATAAAATGGGGTGGCCAAACGTAAAGACAGACATCTCATTGAAAATGCCCGTACCCTTCTTATTCACATGAAGGTTCCTCTTCACTTCTAGGTGGATGCCATACTAGCCTCTTGTTTTCTCATCAATTGTATGCCTTCCTCTGTGCTTAACAATGACATTCCCTATAACCTATTGTTTCCTCATGCTCCTCTTTATCCTCTATCTCCACGTTTTTGGTTGTACTTGTTTTGTTCATGATCTCACTCTTGGTAAGGACAAGTTAACATCCAAAGCCTTTAACTGTATTTTTCTTGGATATGCTTGTCTTCAAAAGGGTTATCGTTGTTATTCTCCTGATCTTAAGCTTTATATTGTTTCCGCTGATGTCACTTTTCTTGATCAACAACCCTTTCATTCTAACTCATCTCAGTTGTCACAGGTTGATCCGGTTCTTCGTGTTCCCTTTCTTGACTTATCTTTACCAGCTGCAGGTAACTCTCTTCCAGAGAAAAGTGTCTTCTTCCCTGAGGATTGTCTTTTTCTCAACTACCAACGTCGTCAGAAAGTGCCTCATGTGGACTTGACCTTGGATGACTCATCGCCTTCTCCTGTCACCTCTTCCACTCCGGCTCCTACACCAGAGGCTCTTCCCATTGCTCGAAGAAAAGGTATACGTACTACTCGTAACCCTTATCCTCTTTATACCTTTTTAAGCTATGACCGTATTTCTATTTCACTTTTGTTTCTAGTTTTTCTATTCCTAAGACCATAGGTGAAACACTTTTCCATCCAGGGTGGCGTCAAGTGATGCTTGATGAAATGACTGCTTTTCATTCCAATGGCACTTGGAATCTTGTTCTTGCTCCTCCGGGGAAGTCTATTGTTGATTGCTGGTGGGTCTTTAATGTCATGTTGATCGTCTCAAGGCGCGCTTAGTTGCCAAGGGTTTTACTCAGACTTTTGGTCTTGACTATAGTGACACGTTCTCTCCTGTTGCTAAGATGGTGTCTGTCCGGATGTTTCTTGCCCTTGCTGCTGTTCGTCACTGGCCACTCCTTCAACTAGACATTATAAATGTTTTTCTTTATGGTGATTTACAAGAGGTTTACATGGAGCAACCATTTGGGTTTGTTGCTCAGGGGGAGTCTGGGAAGGTATGCAGACTTCGTAAGTCCTTATATGGCCTCAAGCAGTCTCTTCAGGCATGGTTCAGCTGTTTCAGTTCTGTCGTTCAGGCTTTTGGCTTAATTTGCAGTAAGGTCGATTATTCTGTGTTTTATAGGTTCACATCTCCTGACAAGTGCATATATTTGTTAGTCTATGTTTATGACATTATTCTTACTGAAAGTGATCAAGCTGGGATTCACCATTTAAAACAGTATTTGTTCAGTCAATTTGAAACGAAGGATCTTGGTAAGCTTCGTTACTTCTTAGGGATTGAAGTGGCATAGTCTAGACAGAGAATTTCTATCTGTCAAAGGAAATATGCCTTGGATATTCTAGAGGAGACTGGTACATTGGGGTGTAAGCTGGTTGATACACTTATGGGTCCTACTATCGAATTACTACCCGGTAAGCAAGCACGGACACGCAAATTTTGAAAAATCTGCGTGTCGGACACGTTCCGACACGCGGTCAACTCTTCGACACGTTTTTCCGACACGCAGTCAACTTTTTTCGACACGCGGTCAACGCTCAGACACGTTTTTTTTTTAATCTTAATTTTATTTTATTAACTAAATATAAAATAATTAATTTATAAATAAATTTTTTTCTATTATGAAATTTGACATAAAAAATTAACAAAGTACGAAAAATTATTTTTATTTATATTTATGTTATGAAATTTAAATATTTGATTGGTTATGACTTATTATGGACTCTTATATGTATTAAATATAAATTATATTATATATATTAATTTTTTTATTTAATATCAAAATGTGTCCCAGCGTGTCGAAATATGATATTTTTTAGAATTAACGTGTCGGCGTGTCTTGTCGGTGTCAGTGCATCATAGCTACCCGGACAGAGAGATCCATTATCTGATCCTGGACGTTATCGGAAGTTGATTGGGAAGCTTTATTATCTCACTGTGACTAGGCCAGACATTTCTTTTGTTGTTAGTATGGCTAGTCAGTTCCTTGACTTTCTTTGTGATTCTCATTGGGATGCTGCTGTGAGGATCATCCGGTACATCAAAGGAGCACCAGGGGAGGGCTTATTATATTCAGATCAGGGAAATACAGAAATTTGTGGTTATTCAGATGCCGACTGGGCAAGATTACTCTCGGATAGGCACTCTACTTCAGTGTATTGTGTCTTCTTTGGAGGAAACCTGATTTCTTGGAAAAGTAGGAAACAAACTGTTGTTGCCCGCTCTAGTGCAGCGGCCGAGTATCGTGCAATGGGAGTTGCTACCTGTGAGCTAATCTGGTTAAAGCAGTTGATTCAGGAGCTTCATATTTGTGAACAGAAACAGCTCATGACACTCATTTGTGATAATCAAGTTGCGCTACAAATATCATCTAATCCTGTATTTCATGAGAGAACCAAACATATAGAGATCGATTGTCATTTCATTCGAGAAAAGATTCAGTCAGGAAAAATCAAAACATTTGTCAACTCCAATGATCAACTCGCGGATGTCTTCACTAAAGCTCTTAGAGGTCCTCAGGTTGAATACATTTGTGGCAAGCTGCGTGCTTACAATATATACGCACTAGCTTGAGGGAGAGTGTTAGAGTAGTTGTTTGAATAGTTCAGTGTATATAATAGAATAGTCCCACATCTTGTGGGCTTAGCCCATAAGGTCTTTTAGTCTCTTTAAATAAAGAGCTCTTGTACATTGTAACACACAATTATTCAATATACCATTATTCTATTATTCAATCTCAAGTACATCCGTACCCGGGAGTTATTTCACTGTGTATTTGTTGTGCGTACTTCATTTCATCGTGGATGCCTTTCTTTGTACTCTTCCTTTATTTTGTTCTGTTATGCAACCCCATATATGGTAGTGTAGTAAAACCCTAATTTATATGGATATTTGCTTTTACCTGTGATATTTTATGATTTTCTTTTGACTGGTGAAAATTGTGTGCCATCTTGGAATGGGGCTAAATTTGAAAGCTGACATGACACATGTTTACATGCCTATATTAAATGCTTTCCAAACTGGAGCAATGGAATTAATTAATCGTAGATGAAAGTGTAATTACATATATATGTATTTTCAGCTTTGTTTGTAATTCAGTTTTCCCTGTTCTCCTTGCTTTCTGCAAATCATTCTCTCTGTCGTGAATGAACCCGGATCCTTATATTTACAGAACTAGCATCCCTTTCATGAAAGATGAAAGAGATCCTGTTTGAATCTCTGGCTGGTAATATTTGGAGGCTGCTGGTAGAAGTGTAAGTTCCTACTTCCTAGTAAAGTGAGGGAAGGGAGAATGGAATGGAATGGAATGGAATGATGGGAACACATGGCAATCATATTGTTTAATTAATGTATTACATATGAACAGAGTGGTTGGATGATGTCCTGCTAGTCCAGTTGAAGCTATGGGTGTGGAACAGTTCTCTTTTTGCAACCCAAAAAAATAATGTGCATTCAGGTGGTAGGCTGTGAAATTGTATACTTCCTTGCAAGCGGTGATGTCTGATGCATTGTCCTTATCTACTTTGTAGTTAGGAATATTTGTAGTCGAAATATTACGTTTCTTTTGGGGAACAAATAAATAATAATTTCTGTGGTTGTGGATTTAGCTGCTTGTGTTATCAAGTTTCAACCGTTCCTGTGATCTAATTTTTCCCCCCCATCTTACCTAAAAATTGCATTTTCAGGTGCCATCCTTCTTCATCCGTAAGCTAGTTACCCAGGTTTTTTCCTTCATCAATATTACACTCTTCAACAGGTAAAAACCATAATTGTGTGAAAGGGTTTTTTGTAGCTTCAAATCACTAATTTGCTTTGTTGGTTAGTTGATTTTCCTTTGTTCAGTTTTCTTTATTTTTCTTTTTTTATTTAATTTTAATATTTCTATCATATTTGTAGTCTTCTTTTGCGGCATGAATGTTGCACATTCTCAAATGGTGAATATGTAAAGTCTGGTCTCTCAGAACTGGAGAAATGGATAGTTAATGCAAAAGAGGAGGTACACTGAGCTTGCTAGTTTTACTTCGAAATTTTAGTTTTATGGCTTGACAAAGTACTTGTGAACTGTAGTATGCAGGAACATCCTGGCACGAGCTGAATTATATAAGACAAGCTGTTGCGTTCTTGGTATACTGTCTTATTTTGGTTGGATTTCTAGTGGTATCAAATAGAATTGCTATCTTATTTCTGCTTTCCTTCCTTTAAATTAAAAGGTAATACATCAGAAGAGGAAGAAATCTTTGGAAGAGATTCGGCTGGATCTTTGTCCGGTATGATTATCGTATTAATGGGTTGCAATACCATTTTTATCACGCATGGGCCATGAATGTTTGATTCTAGTTGTTTCTAACTAACTGATTTAATGTATTGGTGAAACTCTTCAATTGGGAGTTGGGATGAAATTTTTTGATAATACGAAACGTATATCTGGATGTCAATATAATAGAACACTGGTAATCAGATAACTGTTTGATTGAATTTCAATTAAAATTCCTATTCATGTTACTGGTATTGGGATGATACCAGCCCCAGAAATGGATGTTAAGAAGGAAAATAATGAAAGAAACGACACACACTTCAAGGGATCTGCCTCCTCCTCCCACTCCTTTTCTGCCATCTCCTTCCATCTCACTTTTATTCCTTCCTTCCAACCAATTTCCTCTCCTCTTTATTACCTCCCGCAACATGTGCAGGCTGTTATATCCCTGTTTCTCACAGTTATTCATATTATTCTCACTGCCTATGTGGACTCCTGATCCCCTGCTTTCCCTCGTATTCTTCTTACGATATAGCAAGTTAGCAACAGGAGAGTGAGTAAATATTTGCTTGAACATCATTAATTCATTTATTTGTTGAAATTTATATTTTCTTCTAAGAAAGACTATTATATTGGTATCTCCATTAGCAGTGCCTCTTATGCCTGACGGTTTTAAGAATATTTGACGAACAGTTAATGAATTTAATTGCACTGATAAGGGAGCATGTTTGGTCCCACTCACTATGGGAGATCTTCCTTTTACCCCGTGTTATTTCTCCTTTATTATTTCATCTTTTAAGTGTATGTCTGATTGTTTTGCATTCATTAAGGGTGCAATGTTCTTGATATACAATTTGTCGAAGCATATAAAATTGGAAACAAGGCTAACTGAACTTCTTTAACAGGCATTGACTGTGAGGCAAATCTATCGAATCAGTACTATGTACTGGGATGACAAGTATGGAACCCAGAGCGTGTCCAATGAGGCAAGTTTGTTTTTAATTGATTCAAAATACAATTATGACGGTAATTTCTTTAGACTTCTGAAATATAGATGGTGAACAGGTAGTTAGTGAAATGAGGGAAATTGTCAGCAAGGACAATCAGAATCTTACGTCAAATTCTTTCTTGTTGGACGATGATCTGAGGTACACTGCTTTCTGCCATCTAAGTCATTTTCACATACTTGCGGATTTAACATATTGCTGGATGAATCAATGTGAATAGTTGACCTTGGTTGCTGATGAAAATTACTGGACTTTTATGGCCAGTTTTTACTTTAATCGGAGTTCTGATTCTGTTTTTAATTTTTAAAATTGTAATTACCATACCTCAAAATAAGGTCATATTTAATTGTACTTGTTTTTTTAACCTTTTTAGTTAATTGTGAAACGAAGCGAAATCAAGTTTCTTAATTGTGTCAAGTAGCATTTCTAGTTCACTGGCATACTTTTTAGTTCAGTTTGTTCTTTGTTGCATTTCTGTTTGATGCTGAATAAGAACGATAAGAATTTTTGCCACATAAATATATAGAATTTGTTGCTGTGACTGTGACTCATGGATGTCAATCTCTAATGCTTATGAGAATTACTGGCTGTAAGACATCTATGCTGGATCAAGTGGGAATAGTGATGCTGATGGGGGTGGGGGCATAACAGAATGCTGATGTGGCAGGTGAGAGAGAGAAAAAAAGGAGGGAAATTAGTTAGAATAAAAAGGGAAGAGGGCCTAGTTGTCTTATTTTCTACGTTAGTTACTATATTTATCATTCTGTTTTTTTTGAAAATTCTTGGTTTCAATCCTCCCAGTTTCTATAATTGAGAAGAGGTTCCTATCACCAGCAAAAAATTTTTTTTGAATATATTTTTGTTTTTAAAACATTGTGATCAGTTTATGCCATTTGATGGCTTTTCTACTCAGGTGGTGCAAATACATTTTGTTATTACTATTTTGGTGCAATTTCAAATTTAATTTCCAATTTCCATTATGGTCCAAATTGCAGGAAGCTGTGGATCTCACCCATGACTTTGTTGCAATTTTTATTTTATTTTTTTTTTAATTCATGTTTTGGGCACCAAGCACGCTTATATATGTGTTTAATTCTTTTAATATTAGTTTTATGAATTCAAAACCAATGCATAATTCCTGGCCCGGGAAATAATTTGAGTGCAAGTCATGGCTTGCATCTACTACTACACTAATAAGGGCCGACCCAGTTCAAATACCCACTTCGTGAGTGTCTGGGGAAGGGAATACTCTAGGCAGTCTTTCCCTTGCTTTTTGCAGAGAGGCTGATTCGAACCCGCGACCTGAAACACCACGGCAAGCAAGCTTACCGCTGAGCCAAGCCGGCCCTTCACTTTATATAGTACTAAATTAGTACTAAATTTAGTACTACTACACTAATATAGTACTAAATTTTTTTTGTACTAAGTTGTTTGTCTAGCTAACGAATTTATAAAATTAAAAATAAAAATTACTTATATATAAGTTATCTTTGGTGCCCATCACTTTAAATAAAAATAAAAATTCTAGGCCCTTGTGCAATTTACCCCATTTTGAGAATTAAGTTTGAAATTACCCCAATTTCTAGTGCACCACATGAGTAAAAAAGCCGCCATTTGTTAGATTCCTTGATCTGAACCTTCAATTCTTGTTGCAGCATTCCTTTCTCTGCTGATGACATAGATATGGCAATCCCTGCTATAGATCCTGATGACATTGTTCTCCCAGCATTCTTGTCAGAATATTCTTGTGCCCAGTTTCTTAATTCAGATTAGAAGTAATTGATCTACAATTCATGATCGTTACTGAAGCTTGACATTTAGCTTCAATTTGTTTATCTCTAACGAATCAAGATAACCATTTGCTCTTGTGTAAATAGTTATTATCTGTTCTTCCACGGAGAGAGGAGCTGATGGGGGATTCACAAGCCTTGATCCATTTGGCTACGTCCGCCCCCTATCCTATGTAAAAGTTACGAAGACTACGAAGACTACAATTTCTTCTGTTTTGTTCTCATTCATGTCAATAGTATACACATTGGAAACACAAGCTTCTCTTCTCAAGGACAGCAAACTAGTTTGTCGTCAGATATTTTTAATCATGATATCAAAGATAGAAGAGTGATTCTCATGGTTGATTTGTAATTTGTAAGAGTGATTCTCATGGTTGATTTGTAATTTGTCCCTAAGTTACATACTTCAACCAGCATTTTGTAATTATTCTAGTATAGATATGGTGTAAGCTTCACATGCTGCTTCTGTTATTATGCAGCCCATCTCTTGGGCATTTTTTTAGTGGTTTTTATGTTGTATTCTATGTAGATATGCAATTGTAACTAGTGCCTTGGCATAAGAAATGGAACTTCATTCATTGATGTAAATAGTAGCCCTACTGAAATTCTCCTTTGCGAGTTCCAAATTATTAGTTTTATCTTCAGCAATTTGGTGTCTCGTGGTCAATTGTTTTAATTTTGGTTTGTCTGTTGCTTGGTTTGGTCGCAAATGATCGACGACAATCGCGTAATCAGTAATTTTTTTCTGTCATTTGTTGTTCAACGGCCGATATCAACACTCGCAATTAACAAAATGAAATCAACGCTCAAAGGCGACTTGTGGTTTTAGTCCTATCGTCCCGTGGAGAGACTCAACAACCTTGGATGGTGGGCTCGTTTCGCCTGCAAAGGTAGAGGGGTGACAATAGTCTTCCTTGCCCATGGATGTTTGTTTTTGTTTTCCTTTTTGTCCATAAGAAGCCAGTCATTGGCGATTCACGAAGAATGAAACACATGAATTTTCTAGGTGTTAAAAAGCATTTATCTGTTACGTAGATTCCTTTACCAATATGGTTGATCTGTGAACGTGTTGTCACATTGCTAAGAACGCAGATTTGGGATGACTAACATTATGCGGACGTTGATTTACAATTATTATGTTTAACGACGCAAATTGAAAATGAAAGGGAGGAGTTTACGATTGCCTGCAATATCATATTCTTACTATAGTTAATCTGAAGAGATCATAGGCAAAGACTCATCTATGGTTTCTTCTACAAATAGTACTAGAGCAATATATTCATTCAAATGAGTTAAACGTTCATAACATAGTTTCGAGTTATCAGGTTTGTTTACTATGATCCATGAGCTGTTTCATTTCCAATGGAGGAGCTTGACATCTTGATTGTTGCAGCAACGGCACATTGCTGTAGATCAACCAAGGAAAATGATCTCCAGGGAGAGAAATTCCGCTGCAAAGGAGAGGATGGAGCTGTACCAGAAGGAGACACTCTATGTCGAGGATGAAGTGGTGGAAGAAGTGGTGATGACGAATTTGAGGTGGAAGAAGATTCTTCGCTCGTAATACTACTGCTGCTGTCAGAGTTGTTCATGGCAATTGCAAGAGCAAGTGAACTTCTACTTAAGCTTAATGTTCTCTTAGAAATGCCACCACCATTGCTTCTTAAAGGGTAATTTCGATTCTTGTCCCAAACATGATTGAAAGCCATCAAATTCCTACGCCTCCTATTGTAAGCATTCTCTGGTTTTGCAATGTCTTTCACGGTTGGGGAAGAAGCAGCATCAAGCAAGCTCGTGAAGGACTTAGACTTGCCATTATAGAAATTGGAGATGCCTCTCCTGCATAATCATTTCATAACTCCAACCATCAATTAAACCATAGATGAATTGTACGCACTCATATATTTATTTATTAGTTGAACTCGTATCAAATTGACAAGTTACTACTATTTTTAGTAAAAACTTACATGATACAATTTTATAGCCGAATTTCTTATACACGGGGAAGACAAATTCAATTGCTTGAGATCACATCAGACACTAGTTGATGGGTTCACTATGATCACCAAATTTCATCATAATGATACTAATAATAACCATGAATTGATTTAACAATACCATCCCAAAAATAAAATAAAATAATAATTTTAACAATTCAAAACGGAAACAATAAACTTACAAATGAATTTGATCTAAACTAATAAGTGTAAAAAAAAAATATATATATATTGTATGAGTAAAACCATAAAAGTGAAAGATCTAATATCATATGTTATAAGGATCTAAAATAGAGAATAGAAAATAGGGAAGTGTACCTGATGGGAAGAACCTCTTCCAAGGTTTCCATGGCGTGCAAGGGTCCATTGTAGGCACTCTGAGCCTCGTTTTCTGCACTTTCATCATCCACCATTGATCTCTCCGACGACACATCGCTGTTCCTACCGATCGACGACGAAGATGACGACGACGTGCTGCACCGCTCCTCAGACACCTTCGCCGTCTCCAAGACATCGAATAACACGGAGGCGCGTGCCACCGCCATCGTCAACTCTCCAAACTGAACGAAGGAAACAGAAGAAAAGAGAAAGAAAGAAAAGAAGGAAAAGAATAAAACGAAGACAGAGAAAAAGAGTGTGTAAGAATGGGATAGACACAAACGTAAGAAATATCAATCTTTATTTATTTGTTTGCTTGCATGTTTGTAATTTTGGTAAGAAAAAGTAGTTAGGTTGTCGAATGATACTTTTTTTTTTTTTTTTTTTTTTCAAATTTTTGGTGGGGTTAAAATTTAATGGATAAGGTATCCAACAACGTGATACAGTATATTTCTTTCCTATTTTTTTTTTATTATTTGGCCTTATCCTCATCCACTGGATGCTAAAAAAACGAGGTAACGTTGGTTTTCTTTTCCTTCTTTGTTATTAAAAATGAGCTGTTATCCAGTGCTTGTTGTAAGTTGTAACGACTTGATAACTCTCTTTTTGCCTTAAAAAAGTATAACTCGTTTTCACTTTTTTATTTATTTATTCTTTTCGTGTTTATGTTCTACACTGCATTTTCTCGTTATAAAATGTTTATTTTCCACTGTAACAACTTTTTTTATCTTTGAGAAAATTTATATTTACTATTATTTTAACCTTATTATTTTGAAATTGAATTAATTTAAAATCAATGACAGTTAATTTTTTTATTTTTTAAAACCAATCAGATAGTCAGAGTACTAAAGATAAAATGACATAAGTATAGTTACCCACTTTTTCTATTACATAAAAGATTAAGATATCTTCTTAGGGGAAGATTATACTCATTACTGTTTTATTTTTACGACTCTTACTACCTAAGTAGTTATTGTTGGAACAATTTGAAATTAATGACAATTAATTTTTTTTTAACCAATGATTTTAAATTTATTCAACCTAAAATTAGATAGTAAGAATAATAAACCTAAAATTACAGTAGTATAACCGCCCCATCTTCATATTGTAAAGTTATGATAAGTCATTAATTTTAACATAAATACATACCAAAATTGCGGATTATTTATTGAGAAATTTCAAGTTTCAAATTGTTGAGATATTCATGTGTGATATGTTAAGTGAAATGAATATAAGTAGATGGACTCATAAACCCAATGCCTTAAGGTTTTGGATTGAGATGCGGTGTCGGACTCACTTGATATATTTAGAGTAGTTTAGCCCATTGGTGGTGATCCCCCGCCACGAGCTTTTCCTGGACCCGCCTGATACAACCCGTAATTGTTAGTGTGTTGGAGTCAAGAGTTAGTAAGAAATAATTAGTTTTAATAAAAATTTGATTGGTTTTATTATTATTAATAATAATGATTTTAATGGAAAATCAAATTGATTTGGTCTTAATGGCTATAAGAAAAACAAATTAGTTACACACAACGCCCTCTTGATTTGTGTCGATTTATTATTTGAGAGAGAGAAATAAACTGAGTTATAACTCTCGATTAAGAAAATATGAAGAAGCGTATAAAAAAAGTGAAAGATGTATACGGGATTTTTTGAATTTTATAAGAAAAAATTAAATGTTTTTAAAATTATATACTCTGAAATTTCTCCTAATTGTTGTAAAACATGCTATTGACATGTGGTGGATGACTCTTAAAGGTAAAATTAGTTATGGTCTTTCGTATGTCTAGTGATCTTTGGTGTGCCTAATTAAAGTGTAACCATTTTACATAATGATGCATTATATTATGTAGTGTAACTCCTTTTCCCATTTATATTGAAGTCTTATAGGAGAAACAAAAGGATATAGCTAGTTCCTAAAGAACTAGACTCTTAGAATCCAAATTTTAATTATTTTCCTCTTTTTCTCTATGTTTTCTCACCATATTTCATAACGTGTTATTAGTATGATCAAGTCTTTGGTGGTTTAGAAACACGCTTGAGTTTTTTGGATAACAAAATTCTCATTTCAAGTGGTACAACAAAATTCTTCATGTTTCATTTCAAGCACAAGTCTCCGTCAACCTAGTGACGAGTTTGATCATATAAAAGGAATACACATTTCTATCATTTCTTCTTATGTTTATATATTTTTATGGCTTAATTTTTTTTCTTTCTCCATGTTATTTCCAAAATGAATGTTTTTTTTATGTGAAAAATTCTTGAAGAAATCACATTTAAAGCATCTTGCGCAAATGAATGAATATCATTGGCCATTATTTATATTTGTACTATAGTTCTTGAAGAACTAGGGTTTTAGACCATAATTGAAAAAATACAATTAATTTTTCAAATGATTTGAAAGAAGGAAATACTCTATCTTCTATATCTCTCGAATATGCTCATGCAATAGCCATATCAAGAAATATTATTTAGAGACAAATATTCTAAATCAAGTTTATGCATTTTATAGTTGAAGAAAAGAATGTCGCTAATGAAAAATCATAAAGTGAATGTTCCTTGAAATGAATATTCTCAATAAGCATATTCCAATTGTGAATCAATGGGTTTAACTATATTCCCTGAACCGAATATAATTATAATTTTAAACATGTCATTTGACATTGTTACTACTAATATGGTGCAATTGTATATTTGTCTTATTTGAATATCTTTATGAAATGAATTATTTGATTGGTCAGTAAAAATAATTAGTAATTTTTACTTGATATATATGAAAACACAAATTCATTTGAAAGCTCTAGAAGAGCTAGTTATTTTAGACAAACATCATTATAATTTCTAGCATTGTAAACTTGATTAAATGCTCTGGAGCTTGTGTTATGTTTCCTGGAATAATAAAATTACTAATAAGATATGTTTCCTGGAATAATAAAATTACTAATAAGATATGTTATTGATTATAGTATATCCAGGAGAAATCTAGTAAGCTTTAAAAAAGATATTTGATGCCATGATTATCTAATTGAAATCATGAATGAGAATAATATTAAATATCTTAGATTACATCTTTTGGACATTTCCATAAAATTGTATTGAAAAAGTGAAGTTCTTTCTTCTGAATTGTATTTTACATACATAAATTCGACATAAATTAATAATTTACTAACTAGAAGTTAGTTGATCTAAAAAATATTTATCTCTTGGCACGAGAAATCAGACCATCTGACTCTCAAAATAATGAGAAAAATATTGGGTAAAGTAAGAATTTCGATTCATACAATCATTATAGTATCGAAAAATGACATTAATTGTTCATGTATCTATTACAAATACGGTAAAGTGTTGCTTATGAAAATTATTCATTTAACCTTGGCCTTATTAATATGATGCACTTCTGTATATTTTTTTCTTTGAACATCTTGATTAGAGCCGGCAAAACGGGCTTGGCTCGGCGGGCCAACCCACCCAATACGCCAAATGGGGCGGGGCAGGCTGAATTTTTCAACCTATCTCAAAAGCGGGATGGGGCGGGGCAGGCTCATTTTTTGGGGGATTGATGGCGGACATAGGCGGGCCGAGACGGGTCGGTGTAAAATAGGCTCGGGCTGGCAGGCCAACCCGCCCAATCCGCCAAACGGGGCGGGGCAAACTGAGTTTTTCAGTCCACTCTCAAAAGCGGGGCGAGCTGACTCATTTTTTGGCGGGTTGATGGCGGTGCGAGCCGCCCATTTTTCCACCTCTAATCTTGATTGACAAAATATTTCATTGATGAAAGGAAAAACGTCATAATTTAAACTTATATTTCATATGTGTTTGATTTATGTGCATTTGACATTTCTGAATTAGTTTGTGTTGTTATTTTTATTTTTTTGGTAAATAGTTTGTGTTATTTTAAGTACATCATATATGACATTTTTTTAGGATATTTGTGTTTATTAAGTCAAGACAATATGTTTATTTTCATATATAAAGATTAGAGACAAATTAGGATATATGACTATATAGATTTGTTTGAAGGATTTAAAGAGCTAGTTATATAGACAAAAAAAAAAAAAAATCATGCACAATATTAATATCCTATATACTCTTAGGCTAAAAAAACATTTATTGTTCAAAATATATATGTATCGTATTAAAGATATTAATAATGGTATTGTATACTTAAAGTTTAAAGTTTGTTAGAAAAAAACTATTTTATTGTTCGACATGTGATTAGGTGGGTAGGCAATCTGTAATATTCAAATAGTAATAATAAATTTACAAAAAAAAATAAAATAGTAATAATAATAAGGGTATAAAAAATTATTAAAAATAATATATATATATATATATATATATATATATATATATATATATATATATATATATATGAGAAAAATATTTCTTAAACAGTTTGAGATATATTTATCTTCGTCTACCCAAAAACTACGTCGTTTTGTTTATTTATTCCGTTATATTAATTGATTCACCTTTGAATGGTTATATTTTCTTTTTCTTTCTCTTCCTTTATCACGATTGATCCATCTTTGTACGGTTACAATTTAGTAGCCGGAGATAAAGTTATCTCAAGCAGCTTGAGAAACTTTAAGTCATATATATATATATATATATATATATATATATATATAGGGGCATGATATTCTTACACCGGTGTAAGAGTTAGAAGTCTTACACTCAATCTTGACCATTGATCCACTTGTATCTAATGGTTCACATTGCTAAAAAATTAGAGCAAAGTTAGATATAAATGGAATTAAAGGACAAAATTAAGAGTGTAACTTACACTGGCATAAAATGATCCTGACCCATATATATATATATATATATATATATATATATATATATATATATATATATATATATAAGTAATTATGTAAGATGTAAGCTTATAAGATAAGTAATGGTCTTAGACTTATACATTAAGTAATGATGTAAGCTTAAGATATTTTTTTGATGGTCACCTACGAAGAATAAGAAAGAGAGAGAAAAGGAAAGAAAAAGAAAAAGAAAAGGAGGAAAAGAAAGAGAAAGAGAGAGAAAGAAGAAGAATGTGAGAGAAATAAAAGAGGAAAGTAATATTGAGAGAGTAAAACTGTCTCTCATTTTTCTTCTTCTTAATTATTCTTTTAAAGTTGATTTTTAGCTTTGATAATATTGTTATTCTGCCAAATTCTTTTATTTATATTCTTTTATATTGATTTTATTATTATCTTTTATTTAGACTTTAAATTTTTGCAAGTACATTTAGTTTTAA